CTTAATTTCATCCAAGAATTTAGCCAAATGAGAGCTCCATCCCTTGAAAATATCTCTCAAATCAGACAGTGATATGTAATTGATCATGTTGTCATACACTATTATCTTCAGGGATGGGAGCTGAAGTTGGACGAGAAGCCAGTGACGACGTTCCAAAACAGGGATAAACACCTGCGATCATAAGTAATAATTCATTTATTTGCGCACTTATTTATGAACACCTTTAAAAAATTTAAAAAATAAACACTAACCTTATCGACCTCCCACCATACAGGATAAAGTTTAGCTTGTCCATTGCCCAACAAAAATGATTCATCTCGTTGATTCTTCAAGTGAACTGCGTGAAAAGCCGTCGGCATTATTGTATATAGCGAATTTTTTTTTATTTTTCCTAAGCTTCCTTATTATTAGTAGACGTGACACCCACACATCGATATGCTGTTTTACAAAAAAATACATATATTAGTGAATTACATTAATTTTTAAACAAATTAATCAAAATCATATATAAGACAAATATAAGACTTACCTCCCCATCCAAATAGCCACTGTCTTCAACCCCTAATAGCACACTCCACCAAGACCGATCAAGCAACAAAAACATTTCATCGTTGAGTTTGCTGATGTCAGTGTAACACCCTTGGCTCCGCTCATGTAGATAAAAATCAACTGCGGTCTTAGCCCAAAGGGTATTATCCACAATTGTTTCCGGTAGTTGTCTCCTCTCCACTTCAGATACCGGAAGGGTACTAGCCGGTAACTCATACGAGAGCCAACTCTCATCCATCATGTCCGGAATCGGTGGGGGTTTCTCAATACTTCGATATATTACCCCATGTGAATCGGGCTCTGGAATGGTGGGAGGGACCTCTTCAACGATGACAGTGGCCTCTTGAACGGTGGGGGGAATCTTGAGGGAGAATAGGGGCCTCTTGAACGATTGGAGGGGACTCTTGAGGGATGACCGGTGAGTCGGGCTTCTTCTTGCGGAGTCTTCGCACCATTGGGGTGAACGGAGACGTAATAGCACGTCCACGCCGTCTGATGCGTGAACTCCGTCGTGCAAGGAAAACCCGACGTAAAGCATCCACCTTATCGGGCCGCTAAAAAAATTAATACATAAATCAGTAAATAAACAGACATGATATTAAACAAAGACAAATATGTTTCAAACTAGCATTGTATTCACCCAAATCATTATTCTATCATAGTTCACAAAATGCTCAGATAACATTCCAGAAGTAAGCACTTATATAAACATTTAAAAGGACAACATATATAAACATTCCAGAAGAAGAATAGTTTACTTTCGCAACACGAAACTTAAAATCGCAACGCGAAATGACTATCGCAACGCGGAAATGGCTATCGCAATGCGAAATGAAAATCGCAACGACAAAATCGCAACGCGAAATGAAATCGCAACGACAAAATCGCAACGCGAAACACAAATCGCATTGCGATTTTCATTTCGCGTTGCGATTTTGTCGTTGCGATTTCATTTCGCGTTGCGATTTTGTCGTTGCGATTTTCATTTCGCATTGCGATAGCCATTTCCGCGTTGCGATAGTCATTTTCGTGTTGCGAAAGTAAACTATTCTTCTTCTGCAAATTGAAACTTGAATTGATTGCATTACTTCAACCAAAAGACAAAAACAAAACCAAAAACAAATACTAACAAAAACAGTTTAGCAGTATTGGCAGCAACCGAATGAATTACGAGTATGAAAAATCTTAAACTTACCTCGTTGCGTAGAGTATGAACCTCATTCTGCAACGATGCTACCATCTCACGTAGAGCGGTTACCTCACCGCGTAATGTAGACACCTCAACACGCCATGCACCATCGTCTTTGCGTAAAGTACCGACCTTCTCACGCAAGGCATTGACCTCATCACGTAACTCCCCTAACTCATCCCATTGAGGTGGAGGTGGAGAACAGGGAGATAAACGTCGTGGCATCTTTGCCGGTCGCCTATCTTGCGGTGATGGTGGAGAAGAGGCTCGATGATGTGACAGAATAGGTGATGGTTGTCGTTGTGGAGGTGTATAGTCGGGTCGATCAGATGATGGCTCTGGGTGAGGTGATAGCTCTGGGCGAGGTGATGGCTCCCGAAGTGGAGGCTGCTCATCAACCGTTCCATCAAAAAAACGCTTACTAGCTTGCCACCAATCAGTGGCAAGCTCAGCTTCCGTGGGTGTCAGCCTCTGTAGAGGAGTGTTGGCCTCCTAACAATATAAAAGCTCAAACAAAGTTAAACGTGTACTAGTAATAACTTGTTTATAAACATATGGTAGTATTTATGTTAACTTACATTATTTATTGTCGTATACCGTAGTAAATCTTCCCATTGCAAGGTCCGTTTCCTCTTCCAGGAAATAGCCCTGGGAATATCATTTGAAGTTTTTATTGCATATGTCTTCATGGCGGGAAAGGCCTCAAATATCCAAATCTACAAACAATATAATAACAAACATTAGTAATTGTTAAATAATTACTTATAATTTTGGAAACATCATATAAAAATTCTTACCTTAAAGGCCCAAATAAAGCCTGTCAAAGTGTATTTGGAACCATCGCCATGCAAACTTTTTCGATCATCCAAGGCAGACGATAACTTATTCCATGTAGCTTTCCATAAATACGAGCCCCACGGAAACAGGTTCCACGCATTTAGGTCTTCTACCAATTTGATTAGATCATTTGGAATAGGTTGTCTAGCCTCTCTACCTAAAAAGCCGACATGCAAAAGAATTAGAAGGCATACTCGGACAACGTCGACGTCATCCATCCGAGTAAAACCATCTTTATTATTCAACAATCTTGTCAGGTCTTCTACGTGTAGACTCGGCCTCTCCAGCTCAGGAAAAACCCGGGATAGCCATGATGGGCGGGTAATGTGTCTAGTGTACCGACCTACATCATCGTGTCCGAAGCGTAGACCGGTGATTAAGCAAAACTCCTCCCGCCCAAAACACGTATATGCCGGTGGAAAATCAAACCATATCTCTTCATCACGACGTTGTATAGTCTCTGGTAGATCGCTAGTCATGGTTTGAAGAAACAGGTGTGTCAACATCGCATCTCCACCGGGATGTTGTACTTTCAGCCATGGCCCGAAGCATGTATCCTCAAACATTTTTCTTTGTGCAGGTGAAAGCTTCGACGCAATTGTTTTGGCCAGGCTGACTTTATTTCTCAAGGTCAATTGAGCCGAATAAAAGTTCTACAAAAACAATAAACATACTAAATTAGATATACCAAAAACTACACTGTGAAGATATACCAAAAACAATAATAAACATAAAGAGTATTAGTTTATTCTTCAAACTTAAATTTGCAACACTGTGAATTTCGTATTTGTCTTTGTTTTTTGGTTGAAGTAATGCAATTCATTCAAGTTTCAATTTGCAGAAGAAGAATAGTTTCTGAAAATGAAAATCGCAACACGAAAATGACTATCGCAACGCGAATTTGACTATCGCAACGCGAAACTAAAATAGCGTTGCGATTTGCATTTCGCGTTGCGATTCTCGGTTGATTTAATAAGCAATCTAAGTGAAATGGTTAATCTATTATTGAAATTACCAGTAAACTTATCATCAATTTCAATATGAAAAACCTAATAATAATGCAAAAATTTCAAAAAGAAAATAATTAAAAAAACTAACCCTCGTTGGTTGATTTGGTTGATTTTCCATTTCTGATTGTGAGGGTGGCTCTGAGAGATGGAGATAGACGGATTTCGCCGGAGATGAGGACAGATTTCGTCGGAGATGGGTGAGAGAGTGAGAGATGGAGATGGGACTGAGTTGTGATTTTAGGTTTTAGGTTATGAGTTGCGATTACGGGATATACTGTGGACGGTTCAGTGTTCCAATATATTAATATTCGTGTTTGGAATTTAAAAAAAAAATACTTGGCCAGGATACTAATGGCGCTTTGAAAATCGCATTGCGATTATGTATTATCGCGTTGCGAAAGTCAGAATCGCGTTGCGAAAGTCAGTATCGCGTTGCGAAAGTAAGTATCTCGTTGCGATTTTGTATTATCGCATTGCGATAGTCAGTATCGCATTGCGATTTTCCCAATTCGCGTTGCGATTTACTTATTCGCATTGCGAATTGGGAAAATCGCAACGACACTGTAGACCATCGCAACACGATTTTCAACTATCGCATTGCGAAAATGCAACGCGAATTTGCGATAATGGAGATCGCGTTGCGAATTAGCGATCGCATTGCGATTTTGTTGGTCATTTTGGCAAATCCGGAAAAAGTTGGTTAAAATCGTATATTATATGGGATTTTTGGTCACTGAGGTTATTTTCTCTTTCAACTATGTATTTATTTATTTATTTATACATGTGTTGCATTTTATCTTTATTTTTAATTTTTTAATTACTGATGGTCTCTCAACCTGACACGTTGGGACCCTACCTCCCTTTACCCTCATTGCATATGAGAATAGAATTTTATTGTTGTTGTCGTCGTCTCAACCCCTAATACCCCTAATAAGGTGAAATGGCATTCATTGATTCACTTCTAAAAGTTAATCAGGCATCGGATAAGGGGGCAAGATGACACGAAGCTCAGCCGTAGTTTTTTTTTATATAAATAAAAAAAATCATCATATTTTGCATAAAGCAAAGCCAAAACTTTTATCGTGTGAAGCTAACAAAGATGTCCAATGAGTCTGCCTAATAAAAATCTCAATTATCTTACCCTCGAAAACAAGTCAACCCCACCAACCTACCACCTTTCATGCAAGCGAAGGCGGTGAAAAACACAAGAGAACAAAAACACCCAACCCCCAAAACACAAAAATCAAAGAGAAAAAAGGAAATCCACAATGGCAAAACCTTCTTTAAGCGCATCAAAGCCAAAAAAATGGAAGGACTCCATGACCATAAAAAGCAAAAACAACCCATTACAGAGAATAAGATTAATACACAAAAAACAGATAGAAAAAGTCATTGTTTTAATCAATGTTTGGTACCTGAGAAAGGGAAAGCAAAGGTGGTGGTTGAGATAGCGTAGAAATCGAGGAGACAAAAATAGGGTTTTTTTAAGGATTAAAACCAAAATAAGGTAAAAGGAATTTCAGGATTGTTTGTTGTTAAAAAAAATGAAGGTTGTGAAAGAAGTAGAAAGAGTGAATTTAAAAAGTTGGTATTGTGGTGGTGGCTCATGCATCTTGTTTGTCGTTTGTTTTTATGCTAGTGTTTACCGAGTTTTGCCAAAGGCCTAGTCTATGTGGAAAAAAGAGAGAGAACGATGAATTAATACGAATGAGAACTTGGAGAAATGGGAACGTATTTTTTGGGTAAATTATTACTCATTTTACCCTCTCCTTCATCAAAATTATTTTTTAAATATAATTTTAGATACAATACCTTATTTTTAAATTATTCTAATTAGATAAAGATTTTTAACCATTTGATAATGAATGTTTTTATCTTTACATATGTGATATTAAATCCTGAGACCTCAAGAGATAACAATAAATCTCATAATCGTTGAGGTCGTTTGGTTCGTACAATAATATCTCGTCAATTGTGCTTATTAATAGTTATCTTTATATATTTTTATATGTATTAATTTTGAATTTTTTAAATTTTATTTTATTTTTTAATTAATATAGGGTAAATATAATATAATAATTATTTAAAGACTTTCGAACTCTGACCTTAATGAATAATAATAATTTAATCACTGAAGTCGTTTGGTTCATGTTAAATTTATTTTATTTATATTCCAATAAATTATATTTATGTATAAACCACAATTTGAAAAATTAATTTGATGTGATAAAGAAGTATAAGATTTACCCAAATAAAATGATGTGATTTAGTCTTTTTCATTATTTAGAATTTTTTTATCATTTATTTTTGGATCAGAATTATATTTTAATAAGTTTCTTTTGAAATATGCTATTCGTTTGTTCATGTATTTAAATATTCGATTTGATTTCTTGATTATCTATGTAAAATATGAAATTAAATTTAGTGTTAACTGGTATCAATTCAGTTGATAAAAATAAAATCAGTAAATAAAATGTGAGAATGTTTATATAATTTGATTATAAATCCCTAGTAAAATAGAAATTCAATTTGAAGATTCTTTTTAACTGCGTTCCTAAAATGGCTAATCTTTTCACCGAAAGGGTTGCTGCATCTAACCTACGTCCCTATTGTTCACCGGAGGTGGAAACTTTCTGCCATGCTGTTCGTGATTGCCAGTTTGCAAAAGATGTTTGAATTTCAACGGTTTTTCACACAGCTTGGTCAAAGTATGACCAACTGGTTAGAATAACAGTTTGACAAGCGGTGGAGGAAGACCGGAGCTAACTGCAACCGCCGTGAACTACGGTGGTAGGTTGTTTGTCTTGGTTCGATACGGTTGAAATGCTCCATAAACATCGCGATCTAAGGGCACCGACGAATGACGATGAGATGATTGGTGCGGCGTCCCAGCTTATAAGCATCACTGGTGTGGATAATGTCCCGCCAACCTCAACCCTAGCTATAAGCATTTTCCCTCTTTATTATCTGTCTGTTGGATCTAATATTTTAGACTGGTTGTACTTAATTTTGAGTGAATGTTTATTAATTAGATTATGTTTTCTCTTATATAAATTTATTATAATTCGATATCAGAAGGTAAAGGAAATTTAGAGCATGGTATGGAACAATATATTTTTCCCTTTAAATTAGAGATTAAACACATTTGAATTTACATTTTTTAAAATATAATATAATTTTTGTTTCATTTATTATATTGCTTCTATGTATTCGACTTATTGTAAGGATTAGAGCTTGGCCGAAAGTGTTTTATTTTCCAGATTACTTTCCATTTTTCTTTTACCTCTTTAAAAACAAATCACGTTATGAGAGTGACGTAAAACAATTTGAAGTTGGGAAGGTCATGAGAATTTTAATATGGGTTGGTGGCTTAGTAAGAGAGTGACAATATCTATTTATTTAGTATTATAACATATAGAGTAGTAATTTATATATCACTTCAAATTATTTTAAAAAAATAGAGACCAATATTAAAAAATATAAATTATTTCAAAATTTATATATTATTAATAATTAAAATATTTTTTTAATTAATTTGGGATAAACAAGAGAGTATTTGTTCATATGCTCATACTTCTAAACATTATTGATACTTGAACCCAGAACTTCAAATAATTAATATTAATTTGCTCCAACGTTCCTGTCCACCCTACAAATCTCTAGTTGTGTAATTATGGAACGAATATTTTACATTTTAGTCCAATATATCTGTCTGCAAACAATTAATAACACCGGCTTAATTCTAGGCCTGTAAATGAACTGAACGTTCAACGAACCGTTCATGAACCGTGCGGCGGGAAGTTCGTTTATGTGCGTTTATTTATAAAATGAACGAACATGAACAAGATTTTGTGTTCGTTTAATTAAATGAACGAACATGAACATAGGTCTCGTTCGTTCATTTACGTTCGTGAACGTTCGGTTATGTTCGTTCGATTATGTTCGTTTATGTTCGTTCGGTTATGTTCGTTTATGTTCATTCATTTATGATTAACCATTCTTCTTAAATCAATTTTGGTGACCAATTTGTAAGTATCTTAAAAACATTAATTATTCTGATAACCAACTTCATAATTAACCCAATTTTATTTGGAAAACCCAACAATATTAACATGGATTAGTTCTTTTTGAACGATCCATAAGCTGCATACCCAGCACCGTCAACATCCACTGCGCCGAAACCCTATGTGACTGCGTCACCAGCTGGTTATCCGATGAGCAAAGAGGAGTCCCAGAAACCGGTTGCTTTCGAAACCAAGTCCAAAGGTGATGGATTCCGGAAGGGATGTTAAGTATTAAGCACTGTTTCTTCTACTCAAATAATCTCTTTTCTTTCATATATAATGGAGTATTCGAATTTACAAGTAAATAGTGATCAACCAGCAACTCAAGTCAGCTTACTTTGAACTCAAGAACCCAATAATGGTGAGGCCTTATTCCATAGGTTGAGAAGTTCTTTAACGCGTTTCATCAAACAAATTTTGTGTGCCATCTAGATATGGAAGTTTAGCCAGCCGAGAAAGAATGGTTTTTGATGTATGAGTTGGTGTGAACAATAAACCAACCTACTTCTCTCATCTCCCAATTTTCAACTTCTACATAGCATGAAGCTAAGGACATATTTGTTTGATCTCAAGGATTAAGGTCGGCAATCACATGAAACACAATATGTGTTCATCTCGACTGTTGTTGAAGGAGAGAGGAAGAAAGAAAGTGGAGGAACGTTATGCAATCCCACAGCAATAGCAAACAAGCAGCTCGGGGTTGGTAACTTATATAAAAAAAGATGGGGGAGAATAGGTTTAAGCATCTTTGTGCTTGGGGCAATGTCGAGCTTGAATCGAGCTCAGAATCGAGCTTGAATCGAGCTCGACTCTCAAGTTTTAATCGAGCTCTTAAATTTTTTTTTGAGTTCGAGCCTTTTCAAGTTCGAGTCGAGTTTCAATATTATATTTTGAGTTCAAGTAGAGCTTGATAATTTTAAGCTCGCGAGTTTTCGAGTCGAGTTGACTTTGAAAGTTTTCGAGTTTGAGTCGAGCTCAGCAATACTCGAGCTCGACTCGACTCGTTTACACCCCTAGGTAGGGTCTCCAACGTTTATGTCCGTTTATGTTCGTGTCCATTTATGTTCGTATTTGTTTATGTTCGTGTTCGTTTATGTGCGTTTATTTATTAAATGAACGAACATGAACAAGTTATATTCCTTAATAAACGAACATGAACAAAAAAAATTTTGTTCGTTTATGTTCGTGTTCGTTTATGTTCGTTTATTTATTAAATGAACGAACATGAACATACCTCCGTTCGTGTGTGTTCGGTTCGTTTACAGGCCTACTTAATTCCAATGTACTAGTCAACTAAACCCACGGTGTAATAAGCCTTACAATGGTAAAATTTAAAATTTAATCCTTAAAAAATAAAATTAAGCTAATATTATATTTTAGCCCCTACAATTAATAAAATTTTAATTTAATTGTCTTAAATCATAAAATTATAATCAAAAGTAATAATGAAATTTATTATGATCCTTTAAAATTTATAATTTACTTCTGAATCCCCAAGAAAATTGCTTGAATTCGTTAGAATAATTTTTTCTTTAGTTATCTAATTAAATTCATGGAAAATGAATCCGATGGAAGACTCGAGTGCTTGCTGTAAAAAGAATTAACGCCACAGTAATAATTTTTCATTGAAAGAGGAGAAAATTAAAACAAAGTCAAAGCTTCGATCCTCCAATGAAATTATTAAACCACTGTACCGTACGAAACACAGGCAACTCTGTTCACACGTTTCGTTTTATCTGTTTAAGTAAACCGATAACCGAACGACACGTTGATGGTTTAACATTTTAGGCTTCAATTCAATTGGTAGTCGACAGAGTGGGATCATGTGTGGTAACGGGCACGTGCTTTACTGCACCGGACAGCTACGATCGAGTGACTAGTCAATTGCGAAGTAAAACGGGTAAACACTGCATTACCGTAAATATCGTTCCATTTCAAACTATTTGGTCATATAAATAGTGTTGTTTCATTGCAATTTCTGCTACAACAAACCAAATCATAAGGATGACTAAGAAGATGTGTTAAATGATATTCCATCAAAAAAAATTTGTTGTCCATAAGGCAACAAAGGCAAAAATCATCAATTAAAGGTAATTTTCAAAAATGCCCCGGAAAGCCTGAACAATAAAGAAGCCCAATTAACAACAATTTGTTCTACTGTGCACAACCCAAAACCTTTCATTGTTATATTAGAAAATATAAACCCTAACAGACAAATCTTACCCATTTCTTTCCTCTAAATGCCTATGCAACATTTTGATAAATCACTACTGTAAATCGAAAGTTAAAATTTTCTACCATTCCACAGCAATCCGGAATTAATTCCTTCAAGCAGGGGCGGATACAGTTGGTGCTACATTCTTTGCTAGCCCACCAGAGCGGTTCACACGGCCACCATTACTACTTCCCATATGTTCACCCCTTGTATATCCATCACCACCTCGGTTGAAATATCCTCGGTTATTGCTCCTGTTTCCAAACTCTCCCCTCCCATAGCCCCTTCCACCACTGTAGTTTCCACGCCCCCTTGCTCCCTCATTCCTGTATCCAGCCCCAGAACCAGGTGACGACCGACTTCTGTTGCCTGCATGTGAAGAAGAGTCTTGTTATAACATGCAAAAATACATCTACGTAGTTTGGATTTTGAATATACCACAAAATTTGCTTTTCGTCTCATGGCAACAACCGCAGATTTCAAATATTGTTTCATAGAAACACCATGAATCAGTTTACCATGTGAAAAAACTACCAGTCCACTCATCTTCACTGAATCAAGCAGACCGCTTGCAACAAACTTAAGTTAACAATAAAAGCAACTTACCTCGAGAAGTAGATCGTTTTTCTTCAACAACTGCTTTACGTCCACCAATATTAACAGGTGAAGACTGAGAGAGGTTCGACAAAATGAAAACAAATAAATAAAGATGTAGACTTATTGCACTAAAAAATAAATAAGAAAAAAAATGCATCATTTATTGTTGGGACGAAAATAAAAATGTGTAACAATAAACCCCTCCCTTTGCTATTGGAGAAATAAAAAAAAGGACCAAGTTAAATCTGAAATCATCCACGAGAGGATAAACAGGTCTTAAAGAAAACAAATAAAGATTAAACCCAATAAAAAAAAATATGTTCTCTGATGCAAAAATGCGAGTACATTTGAATGCAACTTCACAATGACAGTAAATGATAATTTAGGCTAAACTCTTTTTAATGGAAATTTATTTTAAATCTATTATATATGCTTTTTTACCACCAAAACAAGCAGAAACTGATAAGCTTTAGGATTCCTTTTTAAAAATGATTCAGCAAAGTAACCCCTTATCCCCATAATTTGGCACCGCATACACCCATACTCCCTTTGTGATCTCTACTGCTGTGTTCACTACCAAATCTTCATGTATCTTTAACTTAGGTACTCTACGTCAAAGCTTCTAATCTTATGAATATGAAGGCATGAATCACCTTTGCACAACATAAACTAGAGTCCAAACAATATTCATTTATAAACATTATAAACCCAAACACCTTTTCATCATTTCTAATATCCCCTAAAACAAAACAGCATTTCTAACAAGATAACAGAAGGTTCACTTAAAGTCTAGGCACAGTCATAACTTTATTCAAGTCATCTTTGAGAGATTAAATTGGAAATCCTGTCGTAAGCTGAAAAAAAACCTGTATGTGTGCTGGGCAAAGGCAAGTTCAAAATTGCAGAACTTGTTGCAACTCAGTGTCACAAAACAGATCTCTAGGCATGTAACTAAATGCATTTTGACAGAAAATAACAAAAAGGTCAGCATAGAATAAGAATTCAATAAATACCTCTAAAGCACTTTGCACAGAACTTGCCATTTCAAATTCCACGAAACCAAAACAGAACCCCTGTAGTGAAATACAGAGAATATATTAATTGAATATAAAGTCACAATTTAACACTTGAAATATACCTTCTGGCTTCGAACTTGAATACCACCAATCTTAATAGGTCCAAACTTCTTAAATTCATTCTCCAACATGCTAGGTGTGGCATTCAAAGGCAAACCTTTGATATAGATAGAGAGACCCTCAGCTGTGCATGATCAAAAGAATATACTTCAGTATATGATTCACAGGCACATAGAGGCCTAAGGAAATAACTAATAATAAAGCAGAAAAGAAATGAATTGCAAGCAAACTATTTGAAATTTGTAAAGGTAAGAGAAAACGATTTGTACCTTCCACATCTTGATTATTCCCATTTTCTACAACATTGTTACTGGAAACCCCTGCATTAGATGCTATTGATGGAGCACACGGTGGTGCAGCAGGTATTGGTTGCTCATGAGATTTTGATGAAGACTTCACAGAGGAATGTGTAGGATTTGATACAGGGATAACATTCTCCTTCATAACCTTCAGCTAGAGCAATAATAGATGAGGGTAAAACTATCAGCTTAAAATAGGAACTACAAATCCAAAATCAATACCAACTCATTCTCTAAAATATTATAAGTCTAAAATGCAGCAGAATGCTACTTAATACATACAATAGACGCATATGATTTCTTAGGCACTTCCTCAATTTTGGAGTTAGAATCAGCAACCATCTGTGAATCATCAAGAATCTCATCAACAACCTCAGCCGCTGGAGCTTCCTCTTCTTCTTTAGAACCATCCCCATCCTCAAAAGAATTGTACAATTGCCGATTAGCTTCTTCTGGCAAAGTTTCCGATTGCTCAATGTGATTCTCCATAGCAGGTGAAAAATCTGCAGACAACCAGTTACCTCAATAGGAATTAATAATTATAATTCTGTGTTTCAGAGAGCGGATTTCCAATTACCTTGCTCAAGAGATAGAGAAGTTTCAATATTAATAACTGGATCCGGGCTCCCACTTTCACATTTCCCATCATCAACGTATCTAAATATATCATTTAAAACAAAATAGCCCTTGTCTTGGGGAGCCAAAAAGAAAGTTTGAGTGAATTTCCGCTTCAGTTTGTCCTTTCCAATTAAATACCCAGATACAAGTACAAGTACTCCTCCACTGTGAGAATCCTGTGCATCTACACTAGTTATCTCTGCTGTGAATTCTCCATATCCAAGTGCGAGTATTTTCTCATTGATGGCCTGATCCACAAATGACATGCCACAGGTCAACTATACCAATCCAAACTTACAAAGACATGTAGCTCTCAAAAGAGCAGGAGACATGGTTTTCAAATAAAAGATTGGACTAGAAAACAAAAACAAAGAAGGAAAGAATATTGAAATACAATCACAGAAGCATGGAAGATAGAGAAAACTCACTTGCAGTGTTGTTGTGATACTCATGATACCATTTTCTTCAGGTCGACCAAGTTTACTACTATCATGGTAAAATCGGTGAACCAGTTCCGGGGATTGATGCAAGATAAGGTAGTATTGATGAACAAATGCATTCCCAACCTAAAATCACAAAAAAACAGAGATCAAAACTTAACTTTATATGCATTATTAAAAAATCCAAATAAGAAGGGGAAAACATACAACGTCAGGAGTAGGTGCTATAACTCCAGCAGGGACTTGGTTTGAAGATGCCATTGACAATTTGACACCTGCAAATCAACGAAGGCCAAATTAAAACCAGTACTAAACTCTAGCCCCAAGTTTAACTAGCGAGCCAAGGAAATAAAAGAGATTAATAGATTCCCACGGAAATAAGTCAATAATTACGAAGCTTCATAACCACCTACCGAACGAACAACGTATTTTGAACCAGAAAATATATCATAAAAGAACTTTCGGGAAAATTATTAGGCGAAAACGAATACAACTTCACGGATTCAAGAATTGAACACTTTTATTAAGGTTAAAATTCAAAGTTTCAGTTTTCCTGTAAAGCATCTTTTGAACCTAGAGATTGAACATTTACAATTGATCTGAACAAGAAATAAAGGCATCCAGAAGAAAAATGTACACTATAAAATAAAGAGACAAATGAGATCAAGTATATAATTAGTTGATAAGGAGGTTATTCACCTTAGCTTTTAGATTCAGATCGCAAAGAAAAAAAAGAGGTGAGAGTGAAGAGAGTACTTTTTCTTGAACTTTTCTTCTTTTCCGTTGGTTGCTCTTTCTCTCGCCTCCCTTCGTTGAGGGAGTTTGGCGGTTTCTAGGGTTTTTGTGAATCTTGAAGAGGCGCGAGCAAAGGGGAAGACCGCCGCAACAAGGTTTTTGGTATTTATAACCCTAATATTATCTCGTTTTCATACTCCATAAATCTTTATCCTTTGTACTTAATAATTCTAATTATATACCTATTTTGATTATATTTGTAACTTTCAAATATGCATTGTATTAATTAATTTTGATGCGGTCATATTTGCTTAAAATTGTAAAAGAACGAATATTAGATCAATATTATGAGTTAAGGGAGTAGTAACTCAATTTGAGAATGCTTAAAAAATATTTTTAAGATGATAATTAATAAAATATATATCTATTGTATCGTAAATATGATCAAATTTAGTTATTATTAAATGCTTAGTTGTTAGTATATGTCTAGTTTAACTTTTGATACTAATATCGTGGTTAACATCATGCATAATCGTTGTTTTTTTGAACTCATATACTTTTTGTCTATGTTATCTAATTACTCTCTTTCACAAGCCTTTCTGAAAAATTATTAATGTCGAATAAAATCAATAAAATATTAAACCTTTTAATTTATTTTAACTTGACTTGTAATTGCATAAATTCAAGTCAAAATTAAAAAATACAACTTAAAAAATTCAAATGAAAACTAAATTATAAAATTTAATTTAATTTTTTAATAATTCAACTCGAATTTCAAATTTATTACCCAATCTAAAAAGTGCATGAAAAAGTAACTTAAACATTGCCATGAAGTAAGCCGCACAAATTAAAAGTATAAAACTCTATTAAAGTATATTTTTACTTTATTTTATTTTATTTTGTAATTAAATTTTTATCTTTATAAATAGACACTAAGAGTCAGAGGTAGAAATCAAGTTTTTTTTTTTACAAAAATCTTCTTGTATTTTCTTTATTCATATTAATGAAATTCTTCTCTTTTGTCAGTGTTTTTTCCTTTTAGGTTTTTTAAGTAAATATTGATGTTCTTTGTTTTTTTCTTCGATCGTGTTTATTTGTTTGTCTATAATCATCGTTCCGATAATACAACACTATCCAATATAATTATGCACATCATCTAATGTTTTGTATATTGTTATTTAAATCGATAATAAAAAAATTAATAAAAAAATAAACTCCGGATGATTTAATTATTTTAACAGCTATTATCATTTATTTAGTTAATAATATATATAAATTAATAGAATGGAATTCAGAGATTCAATAGATTCAACACGAAACATACTTATCCGGATAGTCAAAACCACATTCAAAAGGATTCCAGAAAATTTGTATTACAAAAAGTATGTTATGGCTGTTTGAATTAAAGTTCAAAACAGATGAACCGAGGTCATGCGTGTGTCCATTACATTGCCCAACATCAGTCTCGAAATCACTAAACTGGCATCCTCATTACTAGTTGGCCCTGCATAAAGCTGCCATAAAAAAATGAAACAATGTTAATATATAGATTATTATTCGATACATTATTTGACCCTCCGTATATCGTATCATATACAGGAGAAAAACAAAGAGAGAACGGCTGACCTCTTGATATAATAGTAACAAAAGTCAAGCAAGATGAATGTTTGAACAATTTCAGCAAGGATAACCATGGGCAACCACAAATAACCATATCCAAGCAAGAACAGATACCTCCCTCCTGTCTCATAAACCTTACATATACGATTAACAATAATGCGTTAATCATCATTAACAATTTAATTAATTATATCTAAATTATAGATTATGTCCAGATTAAGAAATGAACCTGCACGATCCAATGAGCGCAGGAGAGGAATCTGGCAACACCAAGTGCGAATACATAATGGGCCGTGAATGGTTCGATTATCTGAAAAATCGAAAAAAATATCAGGAAATTCATAATTTCTCATATATCTGATGTATATGTTACAAAAGATACAAGAATGGATTTAAATAAGTAATAAAGAACCTTTGCATTCTGCATCATACGAAGCTGTGGCATCACTGAAACTGATTCCAGATAAACACAAAAGGCCCAAAGAACTTGACTGATGTATGTGGATGTGCCAAATGGGTGGATTAACACGGCAAGTATGGCACATGGCACCACCTGTAAATTACATACATATTTTGTATTCATGGATTAGTTACTACTAATTAGGAACACAATTGAAATGTATTTTGACTCATGGTAACACACGAAAATACTCAATTGGACACAAGAATAACAATATGAAGAATCAAATGAGTGAAGTTTGCCATTACCAAATAGTAGATGGGAAAATTATCAAGCTCCTTAATGTAGGTGGACTTCAACTTGAATCGAATCATGTACATAACCCATGCGGTGAAAACAAATGTGGCTAAATCCAACAATGTATGAATGTCACCTTCCAACATGAAGCTGCACACTACTCTTGCCGCTAAAAACATCGCTGTGAGTTCTTGAGTCTTCAAAGAAAGCCCTTAACAATAAAAAACAAACACTTCACTAAATCACATGCATGCATATAGAATAATGAATGCTACATGTAAATACCAGAACATGTCTTCTTGGTGGTAAGCTTGTAAATCAAAGCAACAATCCCAGCTACATGGATGAACTCAGAGGCAACAAAGAAGTGGTTATGATTCTTCACCGTAAGCTTCAATGCCGTGAAACATAACACCAACGCCATTACTACAAGCAAGATCTTTATCATCGCCGGTTGCTTCCATATCCATTGAAGCACGTCTTTCATCGCCGATTTTGAATCTCTCTTGCTCCCCATTTTCTTTCACGAGGATTAAAAGAGAACAGTTCGATTGTGGTTTCGAGGGCTAAAAGTTGGTGTTCTGAAAATGGTGGATCCGAGGGTACTGAGAGAGACAGTGTAAGAAAGAGACAGAGGAAGAGTCGCTTTTGGCGAAGACACGAAGAGGGCATGCAGGAGGGTGAATTATGTGGCACTGACCAATGGCTTTTAAGGACGTGGATTCTTTTTAAGACATGGAGATTGACTGAATCATGATTTTGGTGCGATTGCCTAATTTGGCGGGTGCTGATTTGGTAACATTAAGTTTCGTGAATTTCATATAGATACTTTGCTATTTATGTCAATAAATTAAATGAGTTTCCTTGTAGGTTTTTTACTGGATAGCATTTTGTTTTTTTAGTTAATTAAATATTTTTGTTATTGTTTTGTATATAATTATTTGTTTTCTAGGTGAATATATGAATTATCAAAAGAAAAAAAGATCGGATCGAATTGGAACCTATCGAATTTGGATCTTCTACTCATCCTTATAAATGGGTAATTACAACTTATTTCTTCTAATTAATATAACCCAAATCCATTAAGTTAGAAGCCTGAACCCATTGAACCCAACCCAAATCTTAATTCCTAAAATCCGATTGCGTCAATATCATTCACATGCACATTCTCTGCCATATGGAACACCTTTATTCCCCACTTGAAACTTTCGTTATTTTCGTATGTCAACAATAAATCTTTTTATTTAAAGTTTGCATAAAAAATACTGTAGTATCTTCCTATCTTTGCTATCTTTTATGTGAGATCGATCTTTGGTTATTAAAAATCTTTGAAAATATTTTTTCTTAGTTCACAATTTTTCCGTGTAGTGAGATTATGCTCTCCTCAACCGATCATAGATCTTTTACAAGAATCTTGATAAACCCAAAAGATATTTCAAGACTAAATCTATTAACGGGTGATAATATTATACATTATGTTAATTTATAAATAACAATTATGACTCTCTACTTTATAATCACTCCTAAACCATTAAAAAAATTAATATATAAACCCTTACTATAGGTAATAGAGAAAGAATGCCAACTTCTTCTTCATCTTTAACTATTCTTTCATTGAGTTATTTATCTTTTGTATCCCTTTGTAATTAAAATTATTAGTTAACAATAGGTAAATTATCATTTATAAATCTTCGTCTAAAAGAAAAAAATAGTTTATATCCGCTTTAATCATTTTGTTTTCATCAACACATTCATAAATTATTCAAAATAAAATATTAATATATTTAAATTTAACGTAAAAATAATTGAATCGATATTAAACTAGATTGATTTTGAAGGCGGCTCAGTGTTTCCGGTTTAGTGGGTTGGTGATCCCTCTCCTACCCATTTAAGGTTTATTGAATAGAAGAGAGCTTATCTTGGGTGCCATCCATCCATCATTCTTTTGACCTTTCTATCATCTCCTTTATCAAAAAATCCAACTTCAAAATTCACCTCTTGATAGATAACAGAAGCTCCAGTTGCTAATTGCTTTCAAACACGGGTCTGAATTAAAATGTCTATTACTTCAAAAAATTTCTCTCTCACCTAATATTTTTGGTTTTACAAAGCTGATAATTTTTTAATAAAAAATTAATATTAATATTGAATTATATATGTGTGTGTGTGCGCGTGTGTGTTGTGTAAGACATAGGACGGAGTAGGAGAGGATCCACACATTTCAAAGACCAACGGCAACCCTACATATTCATCCCATTCCCCTCGGTTCGCCCCCTCCCCATCTTTCCTCAAAGCTTATCTTTTCCTCGTCTTTATTCATATATTTTCTTTTACTTCCCTGCATCTGGGTCTGGGAGCCTCGGATTTCACCGCTTTCTAATCCAAATCTGGCTTTTGCACCAACGTTTCGATTGTGTGGTGTATTTTTTTAAGGTATCGAATCAAGGTTTGGGGTTTTCGTTATTCTTTAATTCTCGTCGAGGTTGGTTTTCATTCCCTTGTGGTTTTTTCTATGGGCTCTTTGGATGAGGGCCATTTATGCGTTGAGATTGAGAATGGAATGAAGCTGAGTTTTGAGAAAGAGCCTGAAACCATAGCTATTGAGGATTCAGTGAAAGTTTTATTGCAGGGTTTGGGCGAGGATGTCAACAGGGAAGGTCTTATGAAAACTCCCCTTCGTGTTGCCAAGGCACTTCGTGAAGGAACAACGGGTGCTTTTTTCATTATTTTATTATTCATTCTTCCAAATCCTAGTTTTTTAGTATATTGATTCAGAGTAATTTCTATGAGATATGCATTAAGTATGTATGAGGTTCTTGGCTTT